CTTTGTCATTATCTTTTAATATTTACGACAGAAAATTGCTAAAAGTGCACAAACAGAAATAGCCTAGTTTCTATGATTAACTGCTCTCATTATGCAGGAAGCATTTCTGGCTGCCGTAAACAAATCACGTCAAAGACAGCCCATCAAAGGCTGCTCTGTGTGTGGACAGCAGTGCCACACGGAACAAAGCTTGCTTCTGGTGGAGGAGACAGAACCTAGCCAGTGCGCAGCTGCAGGGGTGCAGAGCACCCTCTATCCAAGCTATACAACCATCAGCATATTATCAAGCTCTGAAAAGGCCTTGGGGCTCCTGGTCACAGATACGTTTTTAAAAGATTCCCAAAAAAGTATTGATTTGCTTTCAATCAACAGGGGTATATTATAGACTATAAATACATAAAGCAAGTCTGGAAGTTACCTTACTGACTTATATAAGCTAAATATAAAGATTAAGTTCTATGCTTTATTTTATAGCCAGCCTCTAAGAGCAATTTTTAAACAGTACAATTGTTTCAGAGAAGCTGGAAATTACCATGAATACATGCCAAACTATGTTAGGTCCTGTATATATATTAGACAAATTAATTGTGCACACTGTTTTTGTTTTTACAGTGAAAAGAAAAAGACTTGCAACCACAGCCACCAACACTTTTAGTGTTTACCTCTTGGTTACCATAGGAGACTGTCTAAAAAGCACCATGATGACATCTGATACTGTCAAAATCACAGGAGACTTTCAACTTTCAGTCATTTCCTTACTACTAGGCTAGTACTGCCTTCTTTAAGTCATATGACTCATTTTAATGCATTTTATTCTAATAGCAGAACTAATTCTACTATACTCACAAACTCAAGCCTAACTCATTTCTATAACATGAGACTGAAGTCAGACTTGAAAAACTCTCAATACAATATTAACAACAAAAGCTAATTTCTCTCTATTCCTAAACTAAATGGTATGCTCAAATCTCTGATGCTATAATTTACTCTGTTCATGAGTGTGCTGATCTAATGCTTGAGAAAATAAAGTCAAAGAATGCAACCAGAACTTAAAAGAGTATAGACATGGCAATTAGGACAGAAATCAGAGGCAAAAATATGAGATATAAAAACCTAAGTACTTGGATATGCATAAGGGTAAAGGAAGTATAATAAAATTTTTAAAAACAAATTATCTGAATAATAAATGCAAATAAGATAGTGTTAAACTATGTCATCCATCCCCACTCACCATGTCATTCTATAGCCTAAAGCCACATGTAGACTTCCTATTCCTGGAAGCACACCAAAAATCCTTTATGAGTATTAATATATGCTAACAATAAATAAATGATATAGATAAGATTCTATAGTCTATTTAAGGTCCTCATGCCATAGCATGCTTACTTCTCCCATTGCATTTTATTTACCCTGCAAGCTACTACCAACCTCACTGGGCTGTCGGCAGCACTGATTTCCCTGTTCTTTGAATAAACCGAGTCCTATTCCAAAACCTCTTGGCTCTTATAGTCCTGATTTTCTCTACCCAAAGTGTTTTCCTACCATTTCTCCAATGACTGGATCATTTTCATTTATGAGTTCAAATACATCAAGCCTCAGGGACACTTGCTCCACTATTCTATCTGAAGTGACACTACTGAACTACTCATAATTTCAGTATTCTATTTTCTTCACTTAGTACTATTTAGATGGTAACTGTTAGCTAAAATGACTCTAAAAAGGCTATGTTACCTTTGTAACAAGCTCTATATTGTCTTTACTAAAGCATAGTGATTTTTTTTTATCACAAAGCACTCTAAGTAATTATACTGTAAGACATATATTTCATTATTATAAAAGACAATAAGCAATTTTATTGACCATAAGTTTCACAAAACATCATGTACAACAAACTTGAAATGCATGTTATATTGAATGAGCCCCAAATAATTTGCTTTTAAGTAAACAAAATGAGTGAGAAAAAGATAGTGTCTTCAATGGCTTTTCAAATACATACATACAACAGTATATATGAACCATTGAACCATTTTCACACATATTCAGGCTGAGCCTTGTTTTGCCCTAAGATGTTTTCCTGTTCCATAACTGTATTTTCTAGTTTCATTGTGAGAGTGTGATAAAACCTAAACAACAAAAAGCTAAAAAATTTGTGTGTGGGGGGAAAGTGCAGAAATCAAAAGGAGCTGAATAGTTTTTATAACATTCATTTGTACAAAAACTATTCGTCTTCCAATTGTCAAAAAAATATTTTCAATGTTCAATTGATATGTTCTCCTACCTCTGAAAATTAATCAAGTATCCTGGGTTGAAATGAAATACACTACAGTTTTGTCATTAATACAAGGAAAATAATTTTTTTCATAAACGTATTTCCTCCAAGACTTACAGTAACCAAACTGCATATTTACTTGTTTGTTAATGATCTATCTCCTGCCTAGAGATAGGATCATCAAAGGCAGAAACTTTGCTATCCTCTTTACTGTTGTGACATAGTCTAATCTGCATTTTAAGAAGCTCACTCTGACTTCTGGGTAACAAAGGGATTATAGGAGGCAAACTTGATCTAGTATAGTGCTCCAGGTCAAGGCCAGCGGAATAAGAATAGTGTTACCAGTGAAGAAGGGGAGGCAAATTTGAAGTATGTTAATGTATCAGAAATAGAAATAATAGACTAGCTAGAAAGGGGAATCATGTCAGGATTTTAACTTGACAGCGGCCATAAAGTGAAATGGGTAAGCATGAGGAAGAAACAGGTTTAAGGGATTCATTGCAGGATAGGATTATAATTAGCCTAAAATCTGAAACACCTAGTAGATATTTAAGTAAAGAATGTTCTTGAGACTGCAAGTTACCAAGAAAGAGAGAGGAATGACAGCAGAATTGCATATTTAGAAGTTATGGTTATTTAAAGTCTTTGGGCTAGATTGGATAAAAGGGAGGGGTTTGGGGGTTAAAAATAGGAGGGAAGGCTTAAATCCTAAAACCTGGCTAACCTGATAAACAAGCTTCCTCATTTTAATGTCTTCCTTTGTTAACTAGTTGATTAAGGCATTTTTTTTCAGCAACAGCACCATCCCTCTGCATCCACAGAAGACTGGTTCCAGGAAAATTTAAGGATACTAAAATATAACAATGCTCCAATCCATTATATAATATGGTTCCTACATATAACCTACACATATTCACCAACTTATTTAAAATCATCCCTAGATTACTTATAATACATGAACAATGCAAACACCATGGAAACACTGCATTTTATAGGTAAATATGACAAAAAATATATATTCTCAGGCCTAATTACACTTTCCATCTGCAGTTATAGTTAGTAAACTTAATCTGTGAATGCAGAAACTGCAGATGCAGAACCTATTCATTGGGCTCGGAATGTGGCTTAGTGGTAGAGTGTTTACCTAGCATGCATGAAGCCCTGAGTTCAATTCTTCAGTACCACATACACAGAAAAAGCTGGAAGTGGTAGAGTGCTAGCCTTGAGCAAAAGAAATTTAGGGACAGTGCCCAGGCCCTGAATTCAAGCCCCCAGGCTGGCAAAAAACAAACAAAAACCTATGGATTATAGAACCTATGCATACAATGAAATAAAAAAAAACCTTGGGGTGCTGGGGAGAACGGCTCAAGTAGCAAAACACTTGCCTAGCAAGTGTAAAGCCCTGAGTGGGGGAACCGCATCTTCTGGCCATGTGAGGTGATTCATAATTATCATCTTAGCTACTTGTGAGGAAGAGAGAGGAATGGGCTGGGAAGGTAGCTCAGCGGTAGAGTGCATGCCTTGCAAGCATGAGGCCCTGGGTTCCATGCCTCAGCACCATATAAACAGAAAAAGCCAGAAGTGGCACTGTGGCTGCAGTGGTAGAGCGCTAGTCTTGAGCTGAAGAGCTGAGGGACAGCCCCCAGACCCAGATTTCAGGCCCCATGACCGGCAAAAAAAAAAAAAAAAGGAATGCAGTTTGAGGCCAACTTTGAACAAAAGTTAGCAAGATCCTCTATCAGGGAACAAGGTAGCCATGACAACACACACACAAGCACACTTCCCAAATACTTGGGTAGCATAAGAAGGAAAACTGAATTGTCTGATCCCAGCCAAAAAGCACAAGACTGTACCTGAAAAAAAAAAATCACTAAAGCAAAAATTGCTAGGAACATGTGGTTTAAGTGGTAGAGCACTTACCTAACAATTGTGAGATCTTGAGTTCAAAATCCCAGTACTGTCCTCACCCACAAATCTTTTTTTTTTTGTCATGTGGTTGAACTTAAGAGTTTGGGTGCTGTCCCCGAACTTTTTTATTCAAGGATGGCACTCTACCACTTTGAAAACTTCCAGTTTTCTGGTGATAAATTGGAGATAAGCATCTCACAGACTTTCCTGCCTCGGCTGGCTTCAAACCACAATCCTCAGATCTCAGACTGCAGAGTAGCTAGGATTATAGGTGTGAGCCACCAGTGCCCAGTATTCCCCCAACCCCCAATCTTATACCCCAATATGCATTCACAGACTTTAGCTTTCACATATGACCATACGATCAATATTTCAATCAGCTTCTACATCACAATCTTTGGGACTCCCTCCAATCAAAATAAATGCCAGACATCAGTATCATCACTGAGTCTACATACAGCTATAAAAAGTGTCCATCAACCCTCACAATTTCTATTAAAAACAACTAAGTAAAAGCATATTTTATGCATAGAACAAGGAGATCAAAATGTTCACCACACGTTCAACTCAAAAGAGATAAAATAAGGCAAAAAAAACAGTATCATTTAAACTACATACCCATTATTACATTTTCACTTTGAAGAGTAATGCTTAGCAGGATGTAAGATTTTGTCATTATACCTGAGCTAAACTTTCAAGCCACAAAATCAAATCTTCTGAATTACTGATATAATACTTGGCTTGAAAATACTTTTTAGTGTCTAAAATTTTGCTGAATAGTCTCAGAAATGTTTGAGAGTTCGAATAATTTAATTACTCTTACCTTTGCAGATGCTCAAAATCATACTGCCCGAATTTTGCACTTCATCAAATTTGGCAAATATTATTTCTAATCTGGGAATAAAAGAATTGTTTATTTTTACAATGAGATGAACAGAAATAATGCCACCATCTCCCTTACAAAGAAAAAAAATTGTAAGGTCTGGAGATGTAGGTTAATGGTAGACCACTTGCAAGTGTACACAACCACCTGGGTTCCATCCCACCACAAAGGACAGAAAGAGAGAGAGAAAGCATGGAGAAGTGTGGAAAGGTGAGGAAAGAGCAAACATAAGTATTCAGTTAGTTTTTTGTTGCTTTTTTTTTTTTTTTGCTGGTCGTGGGACCTGAACTCTGGGTCTGGGCGCTGGCCTTCAGCTTTCAGCTCAAGACTAGCGCTCTACCATTTGAGCCACAGCACCACTTCTGGCTTTTTCTGCTTATGTGGTGCTGAGGAATTGAACACAGGGACTCATGCATGCAAGGCAAGCACTCTACCACTAAGCCACCTTCCCAGCTCTCAGTTAGATTCTTATACATCTCTCCTACAATTAATTTACTAGCTAAAAGAAGACACACAACCCATTTCTTGATTAAAAAAAAAAAACAAATTGTCACATGATGTGGTTTCATTATAAATTGATTTCTCAAGACAGAAAACTTTTTTTAATTGTAAAGGTTATGCACAGAGGGGTTACAGTCATGTAAGTCAGGTATTGAGTATATTTCTTTTGAATCATGTCACCCCTTCCCTCATTTTCTCCTGTTTTTTTCCTCCCCAATACCCTTCCCCACAAATTGTATAGTTCATTTCCAAAATAGTGTCTAGTGAGTATCACTACTGAATTAGTTCACCTTTTGTTCCACCATTTCTGTGCTTCCCGTTCCCCTCCCCAAATCAGATAAACTTACATACAAGAAGTGGAAGCGAGATTTTTTTTTTTTTTGTCATAGGGTCTAAACTCTGGGCCTGGGCGCTGTCCTTCAGCAATTCAGTTCAAGGCTAGTGCTCTGTCACGTGCACCACATCACCACTTCTGGCTTTTTCTACTTATGTGGTGCTGAGGAATTGAACCCAGGGCCTCATGCATGCAAGGAAAGCACTCTACCACTTAGCCACCTTCCCAGCCGGAGATTTTTTTTTTATTTTACTTTTTGCAGTTCTTCCCCCACCACTCCCTTTATTTTTTTTTTTGCTATATTTGATTTCTGTACCTTTTGTCTTATATGTAAGAAAAGATTTTCTTGTATATCAGAAAGCATTCTATGACTGGTGGCTCACACCTGTAATCCTAGTTAATCAGGAGGCTGAGATATGAGAATCCTGTTTCAAAGACAGCCCAGTTAATTGGAGACTCTTTTCTCCAATTAACTACCAGAAAACTGGAAGTGGCACTGTTACTCCAGAGTTCAAGCCCCAAGACTGACAAGAAAAAGAAAAAGAAAAAAAAAAAGCATATTCTAGCTCTAATCTTATATTAAATCCACTCAAGTCACTAAGTCTTTCTTTTTCTTTATTTTTGTTTGGGGTGGAGGGTATTGGGAATTTATCTAGGATCTTGTGGCAGTATTCTACCACGTCAGCTATGCTCCAGCTATGCTCCACCAAGATATCTTTTTAAAAACACATAAGCCGGGCGCCGGTGGCTCACGCCTGTAATCCTAGCTACTCAGGAGTCTGAGATCTGAGGATAGCGGTTCAAAGCCAACCCGGAGAGGAAAGACCGTGAGACTCCTATCTCCAATAAACCACTAGAAAACCAGAAGTAGCGCTGTACCTCAAGAGGTAGAGTGCTCGCCTTGAGCTGAAGAGCTGAGGGACAGTGCCCAAGCCCAGAGTTCAAGCCCCATGACCGACAAATACACACACACACACACACATCATGCTAAGGAAAATTAAGGCAAACATAAAACAATGAAATGTCATAGTCAAAGATAAACACCAATTCCAAGTAAAGTGATACAAAAAGATCTTTCAAATAAATGCACCCTGTAAGAAGGCAGGAGTAATTATTCTGTTACCTGATAAAATGGACTTTCCATTAAAATCAGCAAGAAGAGACAAAAGTCACTACATAAAGGGAATGATCCACGAAGAAGAAATTCTAGTGGTCAATATATAGGTACAAACAGTTGAGCACCTGAATGTATTAAACAAATCCTTAGACTTGCAAGAACTGATAGACCCCAACACAATAATAGTGGGAGACACCCCACTTTCACCGAAGGGTAAGTCAAGCAACAGAAAATCACCAAAGAAGCCTCTGAATTAAATGACACCATAACCCAAATGGACTTAACAGACATCACAGAGTATTCTACCCAACAACTCATGATACATATTGTTAGCAGCCCTTGGACTCTTCTCAAAAATAGATTATATTCTAGGACATTTAACAAGCTTCAGCAAATATAAAAGAATTAAGCTAACTCCCTGTATCCTATCTGATCACAATAGAATTAAACTAGAACTCAACAGCAAAAGAAAATACAGAAGACACTTCAAACGCTGGAAAATAAACACACTGTTGATGGGGCACTAAAGAAATAAAGGAGAGAATCAGAAAGTTCTTACAATCCAATGAAAATAAAAACACATTGTACCAAAACCTCTGAGATACAGCAAAAACAGTGCTGAGAGGACAGTTCATAGCTGTAAGCGTGCATATAAAGAAAACAGAAGCAGCTCAAGTAAATAACCTCATTCTAGAAAAACAGGAAGAGAAACAATAAAGATTAGGGAAAACTCAATGAATTAGAGATCAAAAGATGTTTCTTTGAAAAAATTAATAAAATTAGCAGACCCCTGGCTAAATTGATAAAAATAAAAAAAGAAACACAGAAGAGACTTAAAATTAGAGATGATAAAGGAAATATCACAACAAACATCCAAATAATCCAAAAGATTATGAGGGGCTACTTTCAAAATCTATACTCAAATAAGATGGAAAACCTAGTAGAAATGGACAAATTCCTATAGACATACAAGCTGCCGTGGCTGAACCAGACCCATAACAAGCAATGAGACCAGGTAGTAATAGAGGCGTCCTACAAGGAAAAGTGTGATGGATTCACAGCTGAATTCTGTAAGCCCTTTAAAGACAAACTGACACTAGTACTCCTCAAACTTTTCCATGAAATAGAAATGGAAGGCTCACTACCAAACACATTTTAGAAGCCAGCATTACACTTGTCCCCTAAATAGGTAGGCACCATACAATGAAAGAGAATATAGACCAATCTGATGAACACAGGTGCAAAGTTCCTTAATAAAATACTTTCCTGGCTAGGAATGTGGATTAGTGGTAGAGTGCTTTCCTAGCATGCATGAAGCCCTGGGTTATTCCTCAGTACTACATAAACAATAAAGGCTGGAAATGGCACTATGGCTCAAGTGGTAGAGTGCTAGCCTGGAGCAAAAGAAGCTCAGGGACAGTGATCAGGCCCTGAGTTCATGCCCCAGGACTGGCAAAAAAAAATTAAAATTAAATTAAATTTAAATTAAATATTTGCCAACAAAATTCAATATCTAATTTTAAAAAACTGTACACTATGATCAAGTTGGTTTTATTCCAGAGATGCAAGGTTGGTTTAATATATGTAGTCAATAAAGGTAGTAAAAATTAACAGAGCTAAAGCAAAGATCACATGATCATCTCATTAGGTGCAGAAAAAGCCATTGACAAAATCCAACATCCGTTCATGTTAAAAGCTCTGGAGGGGCTGTGAAGGTGGCTCAGTGGTAGAGCGCTTGCCTTGCATGCATTAGGCCCTGGGTTCGATTCCACAGCAACACATAAGCAAAAAGAAAAAAGCCAGAAGTGGCGCTGTGGCTCAAGTGGTAAAGCGCTAGCTAGCCTTGAGCTGAATTGCTGAGGGACAGCGCCCAGGCCCAGAGTTCAGGCCCCACGACCGGACTGCCCCCCACAGAAAAAA